AATAGTTATAAACTAAATTAAAGTATAAAATTATTTTTATATTAAAGCTATTTAAAAAAGGAAAATAAGCCCTTTTTATAAATATTAATTATTATTTAACTAATTACCTAAAAAGTTAATAATTAAGAAATTTAATTATTAAAAGTCTAGCTTTAATAAGTAATAATATAAGCTTTTTAAAGGCTTTTAATAGCTTTATTTTAATAATTATAGTAAGGCTTTTAAGGGCCTTTTAGCGATACTAATAAATAGCTTCCTTTTTCTATTGAAAAGGGGCCTTTGGCGTTGACAAGGTCAAAGACCATTTCGGCCATGACGATGGCATGTTTTGTTGAGCCTCGCTTGCTTCTTCATTTCGAATTCGTCTGCAAGGCGAGATCTTGCGCATTTACAGCAAAAGATCTCGGGTACTGCTACGGGAGAATCTATTGTTAAAAGGGTAGAGCAAAGCCTTGCAACGCGGAGATTCAACGTTGGCGCTGCACGTGATCGCAAATTTGAGGAAAGAGTTTGCGCGCCACAGAGACGTACGGCTCCAAAGTTTCGAGTTTCGATTCGACAACTTCATCTACGAGACTGTGCAAGGGAATATTAAACGGCAGCATAATTCCTGCGCGGTAAATTTAACCAGTCATGGAACAAGCCCAGAAGAGCCAACCAGACGCCTTGGCCGCACGCATCTACCTGGGTTCGACCCTCGATTCTGCTGCGCTTCGATAACGCTGACTTTTGGGTGTAGGTAACCTCCCATATACGGCCAAACCCTACAACATCGAGGAATTGCTCGCCGCCAATGGCTTCGACCATTTTGAAAAGATCCATATATCCATAGACCCCGTCAGTGGGCGAAACCCCGGCTACTGCTTCGTTGACTTTCCCGACCACGACACTGCCAGCCATGCCCTTACCTCCTTGAGCGCAACCATCAGCGGACGGCCAATCAAGGTCGGTCCCTGCGACCCCAAGAAGCAGCGCGATCAAGGCGGGAACCACGAGGCCGACTCTTCTTCCCGGCGATGGGGCGATTGGAGCACCCAATCCAGCGATGGCGGGATTGCCACTGGGCGATTCAACACCAAGGGCGCCGAACAGGGTCCTTACTGGGCAGTAGATCATTTTGAAAACATGGTAGAGAGCCTCGAGGGGCGGAGGCTCTACGTCGGCGGGTTGGGGAAGATGATTGACCAAGCTCAACATAACCAAGAAATCACGGAGCTTTTCTCCGACTTCACCCCGTGTGTGGAAACCTCTCATTCTTATACTGCATTGTGCCTTTACTAATTGCCATGTATATACTAGGACGGCGATTGGCAAACGAATCACGCCGTATAAAAGGACAAGATTCATGCCAGGCAACCACCACTACTGCTTCGTCGACTTTGAAACCAGGGAGCTGGCGAACGCAGCGAAGAAGGCCCTACACGCCAGGACCATTCCGGGGGGCAGGCTGAAGGTTTCGGTGGCCGCTGGCATACCGAACAAGCTGGCAAATCCCGACACGGGTGTCAGATACGGTCGGAGTGTGTACGATGGTTCCCGTTCAGGAAACACGGCGCCATCGAACAGGGCCGCAGCATCCACGGACTGGCGCAGGAGAGATGACGAGTAACTGGGCCGTGAAAACTGACCGGTTGCATGTACGACTGGCCCTTGTCAAGGGCCAACGGCAGCTGCCTAAACTGACAAATGGCTCGTTTTGTGTATAAAACGCTGCACGGGACCAGCTCTCAATGGAGTGCTCACTCCTCAAATAACTCTCACTTTAAATTGATACAATTCACTGTCGGCGACAATAGCCAATCAAGTGCACCTGCAGGCACCTGGGGATGTGGCTGGTCCGAGCAGCGGCGAGCACCACGACAGACCGCCTTAATCATGACTCTGGGCGACATCTGGAGATATTCCGACTCAAATGCTCGCAAGAACGGAATCAGCCTAAAGCGTGGGCTGCTTTTAATCACTAGCTATGGCTGGAATACCCTGGGCTCAGCAGGCCGTCGACGGCTTTTTTGAAGGGCGCTATCCCACCCAGTTTCAGTGCGATCAAATAGCGAAATCCATTTCGGGCGCTTCGAATCTTGGCGCTGTTGACACGCCGGGCTCGATGAGTTATAATGTTGTCTGCACGGGTCGCCGTGCAGGGAAGCCAGACGTTGTGGTATCCTTCCGAGAGCCAGAGGCCAACCTCGACAAAAGCATGTGCCAGTTAGCAAAGGCCATCCACGGCTACCTCGTGCCCCGGATATCTCACGCTGGCATAGTCGATGGTGCAGATCCGCCACTCACCATCTACACCATGCCGTACCTGCAGGGAATCTCGTGTCTTGATGCTCTTACTTGTCAGGTGGAGATGGGTCAAGTAGCCGAGGCCAGGCATACTTGCTTCATTCGCCACCTTGCCAGGTAGGTAGGGAGAACAGCGATGCCCGTTTGCTAGGTTGGCGCTGAAGTGCCTGCCACGATTGCTCACATTTGTTAGGTATTTCGCTCGATGTTTGTCCAAGCCGCTGCATACGACCACAGAAGCACAAACAGAGACTCTAGATGGAATTCAACGCAGACTCGCTTTAGTACGATGCTCGTCATTATCCATTTTCGAAACCCCGTCATGGTGGGAATTGGAGCGCAGCCTCCCTGCTCTCTTTGCGCGGGATTATCCACAAGTTCTTACGCATGGTGATCTCTCTAGGACGAACATGTTGGTTCATGAGGACACCTACGAAATCACGGGTATTGTCGATTGGTCTCTTGCATCGATACTGCCTTTCGGCATGGACTTGGACTGCCTGTTTCTGACGACGGGATACATGGATCGCCATGGGTGGCACGACTACGCATGCCGCTCGCGGTTGCATGAGGCTTTCTGGACCGAGTTCTGGTCTGCCTCGCAGGTCAGGGATCATGTGCGGCAATACAAAGTTCGCGAGACGGCTGAGCGGGCGACCAAGATTGGGGCCATTCTGCGCTACGCTTTCCAACGTAACGCCGACGGCTCACCTTCCGAGACGTTGATGTCCGATGGAGCCTTGACATGGAGGTATCTTCAGGCGTGGCTTGCCACTTAGCCGTATGTATGTAGTATCGACAAAATGCCATCAATTGAGCTTCAACCTGAGCTCTCATGAAAGGACTGCGAACCAGATGGCGCTCAGAAACATTCAACTGAGATGCGTGCGGCTGGATAGGCGGCGAGTGTGAGCTTAGCATCGGAATGAAGGGTATTTTCCTCTTATAGTTAAAGAAATGGCAGCTCTCAAACACCTCGCGATCTAGGGGACTTGTGTAAATGTGACGGGGCCTTGTGTTTAAGTGTTTGGAACAGTATTCGATATTCAGCTAATACTTCGCTTTGATATCAAAGGTCCTTGGTTTTCTCAAGGCCTCGAAGGGCAGGTGACCCTTATTTATATCAAATAGCGGTGAGCCTACTTCGGTTGTGTCAGCGCGAATAATCGACCAACAAAGGATCAATAGCTGGTCAGTGTTGCCGTGCAGGAGGGTGCTGGTTCTATCTAACCCAATAACAGGGCTTCAATGTTTGCACAACGCTGCGCAGGAGATATCTCATGTCACAATAGTTAGAGCGCTGCCCACACCTTTGTCAAACGATAATTCCGCCCC